TTGTAAAATGCACTATTTCTGAGACTTAAAATCTTTTTATTTTTTATAGTCATACATCTCGATGTCAAGATGATCAATCAAAGGTTTTTTCAACATTAAAACTATCTTTTTCAAAGGATTTTTGAGGTGCATATGTAGTTTTACATTATAAGGTTTCAACCTTATATAAATTTTTTCCAAATTCAATACTATTAAATTAATATAAGTTTTTTTTAAAAAAAGCTTTTTTTGAAAGATTAAAATATAGATTTGTATTAGTTCTTTTAAAAAAAACGATTTTTTTATATCTTTTGATAAACTCAGATTTCAAAAAATCAGAGATTTAAAAACTAAAAAACGTGTTTTAAACAGAGGGAAGGTTGCGAACAATGTTGCAAAGAGAAATCAAAGAACCTTGGGCTAAATTGAAGTCATGAATAAAAGTGCGAATATGTCGAATATGGTAGTGATTTTAACGTATGAACCTTATGAGAATTCCCTAATAAAATGGCCATTACACTTTACACTGACCATTACATATTGGCATATTTGTCAATATATCAACTTTTTTGAACCCGTTATAAAATGTGATGGATAAGAGTGAATGTGATGGATAAAAGTGATTCTGACATTTTTGCACTAAAAAGTAAATATTCTCCTCTTTATTTTTTTTTTAGAAAAAAATGTTCTAAACAATCAAAATAGAGCACACCTTTAAATAGTGATAGATAAATTGGCACCACTAGATCTGTTATAAAATTTGTCATATCTTTCTTTCCAAATAGTACTGTTTAAACCGATACAATTTATATAGGAAATATTTCATGTTTTACCAATTTAAACTCCATTATATGGTCTTGGATCTCTCACTTATAAAATGTAAAATAGGAATCTATAGCTAGCTACACAATTTTCAGGTGCAGTTTATATAACGTAGAAACCTAGTTCAGTGGTATAGATTATGCATGTCTTTTAAAATAATATTGAGATATTGGGAGATCTATACCGTCCAAATAAGATTGACAGTAAAAAACTACTACAACATTACTTCTACAGGGTTGCAAGCTTGTATAAACTTTTCCTTTTACACAAGTTACCATGAAACGTAGCCATTAGTGTTCGGTATTGGCATGTTGGAAAACTAGTAATTATTAAAGAATTTAAAAAGTTCAAATAATTAGGTCGTTTTGGCACCGATCTTACAATTTAAATATATAACATGTATCTATAAAAAATAAATTCATAAATATGTTTAAATATATTGATTTTTTAGACTAGACACCAACAAAACTCGTATACATCCATCCTCATGAGGTATCAATGTAGTACTAAATTTATAAGGGCATAAAGTCAACATCAAAAAAACATATGGTCGTAAATTTTTCATCAAAAACCTATACTTGAGTATGTTTTTGCCTCTTCTTTTTGTCCCCAAGCAAATGAGATCCACCTACTGCCAACCAAAGATACAATAGATTCCGTACATAGCAAATAAAGTCGACCTTTCTAAGTAGAAAAGACATTTGTGCCTGTCCACTTTGCCTTTGTTTTCTTGAATGGAAAAACATGCCTAACAATTTACCTCTACTTTCAGTATGAATAAAAAGAAAATATTCGTAATGCTTGTTTCTATATGATTTGTAGTCTATACATGGTTTTATTTCACTTTACATGGATAGAAGGCAGAAGAATTATCAGCACATTATGCAGAGTAAAAGATTGAAGATTTGTCAGAATATGAGAAAGAGAGAGCTTACAAGATTGAAGGATTATGAGCATACAAGAGAGGTGAGAGAGATGAAAGAAAAGAAAAGATGATAGAAAGAGAAACTAAAGGATGCTCATGAATTGTCATCTGGGGCAAGTGTGAGAATGATTGACGAGTAGGAAAGCAAGGGATATATGTTGGAGTTCAAGAAATGGTCATATTGCTGTATGGCTGTGGTTCTATCTGGCAGATCTGCAGAGAGAAAGTCATATGGAGAAGGCTTGCTGGTGTCGACAAGGGGCTCCCATCGATAACCAGGTCGCTCAGGAAGCTCGATGGTCACTGGTAAATGGCTGGTATTGAAGGCCACATAAATCTCTCCCTCGATGGAACCCATCTGGCCCAATTCCAATTGTAATAAATATTAGAAAGAAATGAGTTTTTCTTCTCTGGGATTAAAAAAAGGGGGGGAAAGAAAAAGAAAAATGGAAATTTCAACAGTACACTAAAGAGATAGAGAGTTATCAATGGAGATCCATGGCCACTTAACATGAAAAATAATTTCAATGTCAAGTATCAAGCTCTAAGGTATTTGAATACTGAGCAGTGTATTTGTCCATGTGATAAGTGTAATTATGTAAATTTGTTTATTTTTATTTATTTAATTTTTTTCAGGAATGATCACATTGTGTTTACAGTGATTTGCAGTGTTTTTATTGCAATATTATTTCTGAAATAAAATACAATGACACTGCCCCACAAACTTTGGAAGATAACTCTTCCATCATTTTTTAGGGAGGGTCCAAAAACTCTCTGAAATTACACACGCCCTTAGTGAACCATTAAATGGCATCCAAATTAAGACTTCATTAAAAGCATTGTTTCCTGTCAGAGCCAAAACCGAGTCAACTGGTCCGAGACTATCAGTTTTTGGAAAAAAAACTCTGATGAAAGCAGCAGGATTCGAACTTCAAACCAATTATATGCATGGAAGTACATAGTAGCAGAAGATTCATAATATGTTTCAGTAGAAGATTTGGAATTTTAATTCAAAAACTGGAAAACTGAGCCAAATCCAAATTTTCATAATTTACATAATAAGCTTAGGAAACCTCCAAGTCAAGTTGACATGGATGAGTTGGAAAAGGTTGAGACAACTTTTCAAATGCCGATTAAAAGTAGGGATCGCATACCAGGCACCAATGGCTTATCGTCATTCAGTAAGGGGAATATCAAAGGAGGATCCACCGTCCATTCCCTGTGACAAACAGTGGAGATCAACTGCACCGCAGGGAGTGTCGTGGTGAGTCCCATTACATTATCTCCACTGCCCATCATCACAAACAGACCGGTGGATCCCCTTTAGGTTTACCATATGACATACACCAGTTGTGTATTGATAGCTGCCAATAGAACAGAAAATAATAATTAAGGGAATTCTTGAAACTTAAAAGTGTTCCTTACCAGTGAGAACGCAACAAAGCGGCTGGACTCAGACCAGTCAGGCACCCCAGGTGAGTGGCCATGCCATTGCAGCCTCTCTCCAGTTGGAAAATCATCCAAACCAAGAGATTCACACTCACTGCATGGAAAGAGAAGCAAGATAAATTTAACACGCTTTCATGAGGCAATTATTTTTTGAGTGACAAATGGGAAATGGTCAAACAGAAAATTAGCTTATGGAAGAATTATATTAGTTATGTACCGGCGAAATTTTGTCATGAGGCGGCAGAATCTGAAGAAATCAGATGATGCGTCTTCTTTCTTGTCCCATCGGAAATAGTTTATCTGCATCAAGGTATAAAATAAAGTCCTTCCTTTTTTCTGATCATTGTATGTAAAATTCTTAACGTACAGCCTTGTCAAAAAATTACACATGCACAAACAATGCATAGAGTTTGAATGGCACCAAGAGCAAGAAGCAGTGCATTACATAGCTATCATGGCAGTAAGTATTGTTGTTCCCTCCCTTGGTATGTCCATATTCGTCCCCCATGAATATCATGGGTGTGCCCTAGTTCCAGAAAAGAGAATAATCATACAGCAGAATTAGCAGCAACCCCCCAAAAAAAGGAACTTTTCATTTGTGCAATGCAACGTCTAGAGGTTTGATTTATTACAATTAATGTTCATGTTCTTGTACTGACATTGAGGCTTCTGGGTTACCTTTAGGAGTGATGAGTTCAGGTTCAACTTTAATAATCATGATGGAGATTTAAAACTACTTTAGGCTTTGAATTTTGTCTAGAGATGGGGTTAAAATTTACTACTGAAACTTGAATGATTCGACTCAACCATATTTGCGTGGGTGTGTTGATAAATGTGTACATGCAGAAAAGATAGAAAAGAGTCCTAATTGATAGTAGAAGAAAGGCTTACTTGTGACACCATGAGACAAAGGAAAAAGTTTCGCATTTGTCTCTTCCTCAAGCGCTGTACAGGTAAACTTGCAAATTCTCCTTCCTATCAGTTACCCAAGAGTTTCCTTAGCAAAGAATAAGAACTATAACCCAAGCCTGCAAGTCATTTAAAAAAGGATAGAACTGTCCTAACCAGAAAATGTTATAGCAAATAAGAGTTCCCCAACATAACAGAGGAATAACGAACCAATAATGCACATAACAATTTTTGTCATATGATAGAATAACAAGATGACTGCTAAGTGAGAATTACATGGGCTTTACCTGTCCACAATTCCAGCTGTTATTATGATCCTCACCATCGTTATTCCCTTCACCGTTGGCTGAGTTATGTTTCTCATTGTATGACACCAGATCTGACAATGTCAAGCCATCATGTGCACATATAAAGTTGATACTGTTCCATGGTTTTCTTCCTCCTCCCTGATTCAGACATTCTTCTAGTGAGAAAAAAAATATAGGTCTTCAAAATTGATACCAAGAAACATAGATTAGTAATCCTCATTAGCGGTCCACTGTGTCAAGCAGAAATGAAAAGAACACATACAATATATTCACACCATAGAACATATGATAAAAATGATAAAAACACATTCAGCATTGCATAATTCACCTGGTATAACTGAGGGCTTCCACAAAGACATTCAGCAAAAACCCCAGAGAGTCCATCTGTGCCCTTGATAAACTGGCGGACTATGTCACGGTACTGAAAGCAATTTGCAGACCAAATTTCAAAACGCAATCAAACTCGAGCAGAACAAATATTATCTAATGTCAGTTAACAATCTGAATGCATACCATGGAGATTCACGGCATATGATATTTAAGAAATCAATCGAACAAAGAAACTATTTCACTCTTCTGTTAGAGCTTAGATTACACTAGCTTTACACATACAAAATTTCTTCAGAATGTAAAAACATGGTATAATGTGTGACCTTTTCATATATATTTTTTAAAAAGTCAATACTTTAAAAAAAGGCAATATTTTCAATGCCAAAGAAATTTTAACCTATAATACGTAATACTGATTGTGTCAGATGTATCGCTTTTCGGAGGGTTAAAAGGAATGATCTTCAGGTAAAAAATTTCACGAAATGTCTTGTGCTAAAGCTTAAAAATTCCACTTAGATGCATAATTTCCCCATTATGAAAAACCCAGACATAATAAAATGTTATGCATCCCAGCATAGTAAGACTCTTAATGAAGAAAGATAATTATTGCATTGGTGTAGTAAACTAAATTGAAAATTAAAATGTGAAAGCAAAAACTAAGGACAAAAATTAAGGAAGATAAATCTTTGAATGCAAGCATTATAGCATAGGGTTCAGAATAAAGCAGCAAGGAAAGAAAGATATAAAGAAATCAAGGGCACCTATTTGGTGCTACCATAGGAGCAAATTGTACATCTGCTACCTCAGGCAAAAGACCTACTTAGTAGGATTTTCTTTATCTGACATTTCGGGATCCATTTTAAAATCACTCTATGAAATTTAAAAAGAAGAAAAGGATTTGAATTCTTATGCGCCAGATCTGAATGTCCAAAATTTGGATGGTCTGCATTGAATCCTACTTCGTGGTTTTGTACTTCTGAAATGCATCCTTTTTTTCTATTAGGTTGGTCGTTAGGTTGAGAGGGCACATCCGCAAAATTTGGACTCCTGAAAATACTCCTTAATAGGGTTCACCAAAGGAAGCAAATTACATTTTGTTCCTGCACTAGCATAAAATCTTTTCAGATAAATGAAACCCAATTTCATAACAAAGAGTAATTTTTTAAACAAAAAGAGAGCTTAGCAGTTGAAAATAGATGGAATGTCATGGGTCAGCCGCAGCCCCATAGGATAAGTATCGGATGACATATGAGTCATCTCCTTGTAAATGGATGTGTTAATGTCCTCAAGCAGCATATTTTGGGCCACATGGGTCAATTATCAATTCCATGTTGTGAATAAGAATATATTTCTCTTACATTACCAAAGTGAGGTTCAGTGCGAATGTTGATGGAGGTAGTATTCTGAATTCTATCCATCAATAGTTTATTGACAAAATTATATCCATCATTAGTGTATTCTACATTGAAATGGCCTCTATTTTAGAAAGTCACTAGATGCCTTGACTGTGATATGACTTGCCAGACCATGCTACAAGTCTAGTGACATTGCTTCTAGAGAATCAAAGGCTTCTTCGGTTGTCAACCTGAAGAGAGTATGAGACACAAGAAGGCTTGGGCTTTGGTACCAAGGAGGAATCAGTGAAAAACTCAACGAGTGGCCACAAGGATGGGGATCAGACTTCTGATCTTGGCTAGCAGAAGCATTCCATGGGGTGGTGGGTTTGTCGGGGTAGCGAAACGAGCTCCAGAGTGTGCTTGTGACTCACTGACAACGATGGCTTCATTAGAGGAAGAATATTAAGAAGCTCGTAGAGAACTTTTCTTTGGGTCTCTTGTGATTGCTTGGAAGTTGTTGTCCAAGTGGGAGAATCTTAAGAGTCCCCATGTATGTACAAAGCCTTCATTGTATTGCGGGATGAAGAGCCCACCCTCAAAAGTGTATGTATTGTGTCCTGTGAGCAACCTACATATATCCCAGGGTTGGAGATTTCTGCAAGCAATCAAGCCTCTGTCTGTACGCCACTAGACCCACTCTGCTAGTGAAGAGGTGGAATGAGCTAACAAGGATAATATAAAACGATTGGAGGATAGGACCCAACCCGTACAGATTTGCCCTCGAAAGGCATGATCACATAGGTGAGTATATAAGCTTTTTTTCAAGCTTGGACTCCAAGCAAAGCGTGAGGAAGCAGTTCTTTAAACTGGATTCCATACAAGTGGCATGAAGCTACAAGCCACACCAATGAGCAATGCACTAAGAGCTTCACTTTCCAGTAGGTACTCTATTGTGAAGCAAAGCATTATTTTGGTTTGGTTGGATTCATACTGCGAAGCAAATCACGAGATACACCATTTAAAAGATCGATACTAACTCATCGCTTGTTTCACTTGTCAGACAAGGATATGAAAGGGAAAGGCCAGTTCTATTGCAGCTATCAGTCTCTCTTCATTGTCTCCACTAGCATGAGTGGGATGCACCACAGCTGTACTGAAAAAATACAAACTTAGTCACATCCAACATGGCTCCTTGCCTGCATGATGCAAGCCAATAATTCTTTCCATGATTCACTCCTAGACTTGAACACAGGTGCAGCAACTCTAGTTGCCCGAATGATGTGAAACTGAAGCTAGAAGGCACAGGTTTCAGAAGTAGGGGGAAGGGACCCTCACCATCAGATACAGATATCAGGATAGAAATAAAGAGAACTGTGTTAGCTTTTTATCTGCATCAACAGTACATTGTCATAAATCGATGACGATCTTGGAAAACTATCGACAAAACGATGAATGTTTGGTAGAGGAAAGCGAAGATGTGGCGGGCATCAGCTAATAGAAATTGGACAATAATGACGAAAGAGAATAAGTATACAGCAACAGTAAGGGGCACAGTCATCATTCACTTGCCCCATGATAACTAATTATATTCTGAACGGAATAATATAAAATAAATTAAAAGAAGAAGAAGAAAAGACTATGCCAAGGACTAGCAACCACAACATACTTTTATTGGTATAAATTAAAATTTTAAGCGTAAACAGCAAGATTTGTGATGAAACTGGCTGATAGAACTAATATCAAAAGAAGTTCATTTTTAGCACACACCTTCTACACCTAACATAATATCTACATGACTTCCTGATGCATCCCAAAATACTGCTCTCGAGTATCTAGTTCAGAGAGACAAGCTTAAAGTTTACAAGAGGAACCGCTGAAGGGCAAAATAGTCATTGAATCTGTTATTTTATTTTTTTTATTTATTTCTTGAGTCATTTTATTTACTAAGGGGCATAAGTAGTAATTTATAGTCTTTTATGTCTTCTTATTCACTTAAAATCTTCTATAAATAAATGGCCATGATTAGATTAAATGGATGGCCAGGATCAAGTGTTGTTTAAGGTTTTCTTATACAAGGGATGTACTCAAACATTATAAATGATCTTGTTATGGACTTTTATTCAAAACCCTAGAGTAGCAAGTGCTCTTTCTTTTACCTCTGATTTTTTAATCTTTCTCTAATTTTTTTGGATCTTTCTTATCTTCTTCTTTGCTAAAACTCTAGCTCAAGCTACTAGGTTTGCGCCAAGTTGGTATCATAGCCCCGACGATCAGTAAGGACGGTACTGTAGCACGTTACTTTAGCAAGTTACTATTTTGTGCCCTGGATCTAGAACCATGCCTCGACACAAAGGAAAAGGAGGAAAAACGACAAATAAGCCCTTGGATGCTAGTTCGTGAGAAAGGATTGCAAATCTGAGGAGATTAGTTGAAATCCTAGCTCTGTGTTTGGCACAAATAGAAGCCCAATCTCAGGAGGATGAGATCGAGGTTGAGTCAATGACCAAGTTGGTGTCAAACGGGTCAGATTCATGGTGTGATCTTTTCAAGAGTTCAGTGCACAGTGTCATTGACCTAGGCACAAAATCATGATCAGGTGTTATGGAACTCTATCCGAGGGCAACCATGGAGAAACTTTGTTCTTACCACATGGTTCTCAAGATCAGCATGTTTTGGACCAAGACTTACTGCCAGTCTTTAAAAAGTACTTGGATAAAGAATTGAGTATCGAAAAAGAAGTGGGTGATCATAGCTTTAATGGTGTTCCAATCCGTAAAGAGGATCAAAAAGAAGATCCCACCATTGGTGAGGATTTTGTGGACGCTTCTATTCTTGATAAAAAACAAGTGGATGTTAAGGAGTAGTTCCTAAAATATTGAAGGTAATTGGTTCCTTAGTCCCTAGAGAAAATAAAAAGGAGAATGGTGTTGTTGGAGGTAATGATGACGAATGTTCTTCTTCTTAGAGCTTTACCTGAATATGGAGTATCATGTGAGGTGTGCCCTGAGGGTTTTGTGATATTTTCCTATGAACTTTTTTCTAGTGAGTTCAAAATATTCCTGATGTTAGTGTTCAACTTCAACCATTATTTTGTTTCAGAGGCAAATAGTTATATCTAATCGCTATGTGCGAATTGAAGGAAGTCCCACGGGTAAAGCATCATTAATCTTGAGATGCTTCAAAATTCATGGTAGCGTATTCTCTGATGTGTTTAGGACCAAGTGCACTGCACTTATGTACCACAAATGTGGCAATTCTCAATGGGCCCAAAACGTGGTTAATCTGTTGTCTATGGGGAATGCAGTAAAATGGCACGCCTTGATCTCAACTCGTGTCAAGGTAGAACCATTCAAAAAATCAATGACAATGCCTATTAAAGCTTCCAAGCCAATTTTGCACTTCTAATGTTTTTAACGTAAAGCATCTCAAGTTTTTTTTTAAAAAAAAGCATCTCATTCCATATCACGACGATACCTCAGACGACAACCAAATTCAAGGGCGAGTTCTTTTGATGAAGGGGGAATTGATGCATCCCAGAATAACGAGTATCTAGATAAAGAGACAAGTTTAAAGTTTACAAGAAGATCTGTAGAAGGCAAAATAGTCATTGACTATGTCCTTTTATGTCTTTTATTTATTTCATGAGTCATTTTATTTACTTAGAGAAATACATAGTAATTTCTTGTATCTTTTATGTCTTTTTATTCACTTAAAAGCTTTTATAACAAATAGTCATAATTAGATTAGATGAATGACCAGGATTAAGTCTTGTTTAGGGTTTTCTTATTATATAAGGGATGTACTCAAACATTATGAATGATCTTTATGGACTTCAATCAAAACCCTAAAGCAACAAGTGCTCCTTTTATCTCAGTTTTTTAATCTTTCTCTAATTTTGGATCTTCCATATCATCTTCTTTGCTAACCCTAGCTCCAAGCTACTAGGTCTGCATTACCTCCCAACCTTCAATTTCATATAAACACCTATACATGTCTAGTGACCCCTCCACAAAAAAATGTCCAAGCAAAATGCCACTACCAAACAGAATGGCCAGATATATTAGTCATATTGGCAAAAGAATAGGAAACTTACCTGGCCGTTCCACTCTGACCACACACCATGATGAGGAAAACCTCCAACTTGGTAAAGACCCCCTGCATCCCATGCTTCCGCAATAAGCTGTTGAATGGATAGAAAGAAAACAAAAGGAAGGTCAATTGTTTGGAGGTCAAATAATTAAGGTGGCAGCTTGCAGCTACCGAAGAACGATTGACAGAAGGAACACTGCCTTATCAGAAAATAAAAAGACTAAAAGAAGGCTTGGTTACATAACATGCCTCTTGTAGACCTTCATAACTGGCCAGATAAGGATCATGACATGGGAATATAAAAAATTCTTTGAATAATCAAAAGAAAGTCATCATATATTTGCCATTTCCTTGCATGATAGAAGTCCATAAAATTCTTCAGTAGTAGAAAGTTGAGTGAGAAATGATTACAATTAACATATTAAAACTCGATCAGTGTATACCTTGATTCCATTGAGAACAGGATCATTACTGATCAAATCAATCAAAGGAGGATTGCTCAATGGAGTGCCAGTTGTTATAGAGTGGCCTTCTATTGGGCTCCCAAAGGCATTGGCTGCATCCCATAAACTTCAAAACAGAACGGGAAAGGAAAAAAAAAAACCTTTTAGAATGAGAAAAGACAAAAGCACATAAACTAGGGGAAAAAGATTGCAGTAATAACCTGCATGATCTGGTCATGATAGATGCAAGATCAAACCGGAACCCGTCAACATGCATTTCAGTTACCCAGTATCTGTTGAATGCAAAACACATAGACATTGTATAAGACTAATATATTTTTTTTAAGTATTGAAGCAAGACTACTATTGGAGCAAGAAAAATAAACAGTTGAAATCAGATGGGTGATCCCTTAATGTTTGATACTAAAATGCTACTGACTGAAAATGGTCTCATGAAAGGACAACAGATTGACGAAGCCACAACCCATAACAAATATATACCATGAATTGCATGTAATTGATGTGGGAAAATAAATTAGTATAGCAGTCCATAAGTGCACTTCTGATTACAATGATGATTATGTTCACCGGGTACTTCACATTGCACAAAATGTCAACTATCAGTAAGACCGCATCATCAGGCTACAATATATGGAACTTCTGCATAGAAATTTCAAAGGCTTAAAAAGCTAAAATCCCTCATAATGCAGGCAAGTTAGCATACAGATGCGCTCAAATTGTTCTTTTATTGCAGAATCTTTTATGTTTCGAGTACTAAAAGATAGTTTCCCCAATTACTATCTTCAATGGTGGAGAGATCGATATCATCAGCATCAGAAGTAGTCAAATAATTCAAACAAATCAAGTTTCCAATTCATTCAGGAACAATCATGATTCACATCAACAAATACATCCAACTACAAGCAGATATTGAAACTGAACCAATCCAGATTACTGGAAACATATCCAGCTGTGCTTCGGCCCAGGATCAGACATGAAAGTTGCAGAGATCCTGGCTGCCCCCCTCCAGTGTAAATAGCGTGTTATGAGTCACTGCCAGCTATGGACCTCAAAGAAGCCATTCCCATAACTCTTTTGGAGAGGCCTCTCCCAGTAGAGCTATGCGGATTGAGAAGCGAGGTTGCTCATATGCAACAGGCGCACTTCATCGTGAACCTCGACACGCCCCCCAAGTTAGTGCTTGGCTCCTAATAGCTAGCAGAACTCGGATTGTGATTGTTCGTTACACTTCATCACAACACATTACGATCAATTTCATTAACTGACCTATGAAGCATGCAATTCCACATCACTATATTTCTCCAAATTAGATACAAAACATGAGATGCCATCCCTTTGGCCAGATTTATTTGTATACCAAGCTCATGATTGGATATAATCCTCCACTGCCTTCAAAGGAAGCTTGTGGCTTTGGTTAAAATAGGTGTATTTTTTCTCCCAGGATCTATCAAAGGCTGAAGGTACCAATTAACTACAAAAAAAACAATCTATGCTTCTTGCTGCTGAAAAGGAAACAACTACAACTTGTTTGTTTGCACCAAAAGTCCATGTTCATTTCCACATAATAGCAACAGGAGCTGAGAAAGCAGATTAAGAGAGAGAATGAACCTCAAACAATCCACTATAAATTGGCGGACAACAGGATGGTTGCAATTGACGGTGTTGCCACAGCCAGAATAGTTATAAAATTCACCCTGCACAGCATCAATGTGCAGTTTTAGTCTAAAATGGAAGAAAGGCCTGGTTGAAAATCCCATCAAATTAAACAGACAATTATAGCCTCAAGCTGATTTTTCTGGATTGAATATTTAAGGCTAGTTTGGATGTCAAATAAGAAAATCATCGTTCAAAAGACTTTTAAGTTTTCTAGATATAGAATGAGAAAGATTTGGAGCCGGTTTTCTAGTACTGAAAGGTTTTTTGGATATCTATAGGCGTCTTCTCTATAGCATCTCCAGTTTTTATTGGGCAGAGATAAACCAAACTCTCTACAAAAATGACATCTCCCGTTCAAACACCCAATTTTCTCATCCATGGAAGTTGATAAAGTAACAGTCCCCCACCCCCCACTCTTCTTTCTCTCCCTCTCCCTCTCCCTCCCTCCCTCTCTCTCTCTCTCACCTATTCAACCCCCACTTTTCTCATCCATGGAAGTCATCAAAATAACAGTGAACAGAGGACCAATTATCAGTAACAGTTTATTGTGGAACAATGAGATTCTTTAAAAAAACATCAATTATCAATCAGGAGATCTTAGCTCAAGTGAAGAAACAGGGTGTAAATGTGTAGGAAGGGCAAAACCACCTTTGAACCAAGCAGCTTCTTCCTCTGAGAAATCAAGGCCCAAACCCTAACTGATACAGCAAACAGGGAATCTATTCCATAGCCTTCAACCTTGAACCCTGATATGACAACATTGATGGTGGAGCCGAGCTGTAATCTAGATTGGCAGAAGAGATCTAGTTTAGATGGAAAAGGAGCTCGTGATCTGTTAGCTTTGCTAGAGCTCCTAGCTTGAGGTATTTGTGGCTTCTCAATTTCTCATGCATCTCTGAGATTCCCATTTTTGGGGGGGAAGAAGGGCAGCCTTTGCAGATGGTGGTTGCATGAAGAGAGAGAGAGAGAGAGAGAGGTAATTCATGGATGGTTTTATGGAAACGGTTGTGTTTAACGATGAGAGGTAGGGGTTCGGTTTTTGGTTTCTCATCTTCATTGTCTGTGAAATCCTCTCAATCCATATCATGATCCACCCATCTCTCTCTCATTTCCACCCTCTCTAGCTTCATCATCTCTCTCCTCTACCTTCCCATCTTCTTCCTCTTCATAAACCCATGTTTCTCCTCTTAAACCCCATGAACTTAGTGCCAATTAGAACGAAGAGGGAAACAGCATCCAACGTGCTGGGTGGACAGGTAAGAGAGAGAGAAAGAATAATGCCTGTTGGGTTAGAGGGTCATTTGAGAGAAGCTAAACTTCACATCCAAAAAAAAAATTTCAAGTCTGATTTGAATTTTTCGAATTTGGATTTTTAGCTTAGTAGCAAAGTTTTTAAGCTTACAACCAAACTACACATTAACAAGAAAAGGAGATCAAGACAAAATGGAAAAGAGTGTTTTCTGTTTGCATGATGGAAACACACTCGGAAAGTTCAAGATCATTGCAACACCCACAAGCTCGCTGACCAAGCTCAAGCTCACCTTTGGCGCCAGCATGTAGTAGACACAGCTATCAAGGCCTCTGAACGAAAAAGTAGGACCTTTCTCATTTCCTTCAGCTGTGTGGTTGAAAACAACATCCATAATGACCTGTATGAACAAAACAGAGACATAAAAACTACTATGAAACCAGATGAATATATCAAGAATAACAACCCATAAAAAAGTAATCAAAAACCTCTTGATCACCTCAATGCCTCGTTTATGAGCTTCTCTAACAAGAAGCTTGAATTCATTTATTGCATCACGGCCACAGTTTTGCATACCAGATGATGAATATCGCATCATTGGAGAGAAAAAATTAACTGTTGAGTAACCCCAGAAATTCACCCTAGCAAAGGAAACAAAGAAAAATCAGTCATATCCCAGAAAGCTGGTAAAAAAAAAAAATGTCATGCATAGCGTTTGACCAACAAGTTTCAGCCTGCCATCCCATCATCATAGTATGTGCTATTATATCCCTCAGTGACATTAGTAAATACAGTTTATATATTAGTAATTAATTTAGCAGAACAAGGAAAACGGTTCTTTTTAATTTTCTGTAGAACCTAACAGTCAAGTAATCAGTAGCAAAAACGCAATCCAAATACCTCATTCTTGAATAATCAGGCTGAAAGGTTCCAGGAAAGCACTATAGCAGAAATCATACACAGTAGATACCAAGCATTAGAACATACATGAAATTGTAACTATAAAATTTTCTTCTGATAAATAACGGTGGTTGTAACTCTATATTTACAAGCTGACATACAGCATACTGCATTTAAATATAGACGACTAGATGCTCTAGTGGTTCAGTTAATCATCCAGTATCATTCATATGGCTGCCAATCTGCTCTTATGCACATATGAAACACATCATGAATTGGAAATGCACGTAAATTTGTTATCCAAAATATTTGCGCTACAGATCCGCAGACCAATAGCCCCACCAAATCACTTGCACGTGATAGACAACCTTCCATCTTCAAAGTTTTGGATGCAAACATCAGCACCTCAATTTGAACTATGAAGCGGTTAGATATCTCCTTGTTTGAACTTTTCCTATTGTTTTTAATATATACATATTTATGTGTTTAGCAGGGGTAATTTTCAATATTTCACCTCTAAATTCTTAAATTTAAATTTGTGCCAGTAGTTGCAACAGGCAGTTCTTTCTTTCATCCAACCCACTCCAATGCACTTGTCAGCTGATTGGAAAACTCAGTTCATTCTGCAGAAATTTCAAAGCTAACAAAATTTGCATAATTGGACCAGATCAAATGTCAAACAGTCAAATAAAAGAAAAATGGAAGCATTATTGCTGCTGATCCATGTGGCGATCCCTAAAGCATATTCCATTGGTGGCCTATGATTATTCAAATCTGTAGCACGAGAAATCAAATTCCACTTGTAAAGATTTGTCCACATACTTATGATCATCCAAGACAGGATTATAGCTGTAGTACTCCAGCTCATTGAATTCATGACAAGGCATAAGCTCTATTGCGTTGATTCCGAGTTCCTGTTTAGAAGAATACACAAAGATTTAGCCTGGCAAATGAAAAAGGCAAAATAATTATGGCAATTGGTCGTTATCCTGAAACTCCTCTAAATTATTAAAACATTTCTTTGCCACCTTATTATTCACCAAAAATAAAAAACCACTACTTGAGGAATGAGATTGGAAATTTCCATCATTAGACAAACATAATGCCTTTTACATTGAACTGTAGGTCATATAATGCATGTCCAGACCAAACAAATCAAATATCTATCAGTGCTACCTACTTGCTTCCACAACTCAGGGAAAATTCAATTCTGAACCAATGTGTTAGCCTTATGACAGATAGAACGCAGCAAAAAGCGTAAGCATGCATTCATCAGAATCTATGGAATCAATACCTGTGCAAAATATTTCAAGAAGCCAATGCCAATGTTCATAGACAGAAATCAAATAAGAATTAGGGGACACATGGATCAATATGTTGCACACAAAAAAAAACCTGTTTACTATAGAATATAATTCGATCAACAGGAATAATGAGCATTTAAAATAAACATGCCATTCCATGCATTCCAAAATAAACATGTCATGTGACATGATATGATAACTCCACTAGGTTCAGTTAGCATCAAGATGATTGTAGATAAGAACTTTGGGACCACGAAGCCTCATGGCCAAAGCGAGATTGCATTTGGTTTCCCTTGCATTTTTCAGAGCGAAATGTCATAAAAGCATTAATAAATTAGCTATAGAAACGGAAGATCTAAAGCGCCTCTGTGGAATAAAAAACCACTACTTGACTGAAATACACATGAGTATAAGAAGTCAAATATGTTTATAGGTACATGCAAATAATTAATTTACAAATTTATAGATGAACACATATGAAGATAGATCTTTTAACATCTACACATGCAACACTACTGCATCTCTTACTCGATCACCAGAACATCAATAGAGATAGGTTACCTTGCAAATCCTGATCAACACTCACTATGATACCTAGTTCAAGAAAATTAATATTTTAAGTTTCCTTTCTCTAAATCAAATATATAAATCCAACTAGCACATATTTGGACTTTTTTATACACCAATTATCATTTATCATGCTATATATGCACCACACTTATCTCTAGGTTTCCTAGATTGAGCACTTAAATAAGACATTCAGGAACTATCATCTTTCAACACGACACAAACATAGAGACTTGGTGGCAGACCAATGCATTGTAGTGTGACATTTAAAACGCATGTGTTGAAGAGTGTGGTAGCGACCCTCCAACCCAGCTTTCTACACAAGCAACTAGCACATATTTGGACTTTTTTATCCATCAATTATTGTTTATCATGCTATATATGCACTACACTTATCACTAGTTTTCCTAGATTGAGCACTTAAATATGACATTCAAGAACTAACATCTTTCTTTTCCTATCCAGTTTACACCATTACCATATGACACAAACCAGGACACAGCAAAACCAGCACATAACAACTGAGCAAATGTGGAGACTTGGTGGCAGACCAATGAATCGTAGTGAAACATTCAAAAAGGAATGTCACTGACATGAATCTGCATGATCACACAGTGCACATATACAAGTAGTTCATAATACTAAAATACTCATGAATATAAGAAGTCAAATATGTTTATAGGTACATACAAATACTTAATTTACAAATTTATAGATGAACACATATGTACATAGATCTTTTAACATCAACACATGCAACACTACTGCATCTCTTACTAGATCACCAGAACATCAATAGAGATGGGTTACCCTGCAAATCCTGATCAATTCTCACTATGAAACCTAGTTCAAGAAAATTAATAGACATTCAAAATGCATGTGTTGAAGAGTGTGGTAGCGAGCCTCCAACCCAGCTTTCTACACAAGCAAAAAAACTGAACACTTCCAAGATTCCGGTAGTATGGCATATATCACTGGGTGTTGTGTATGAAAAGAGAATACAGCAATGATATATTTCGCAAGCAGTTATTCCAGAGTAAGAGGTAAACTCTTTTAAGCCTTAAACTCGAACCCTGCAATATAAATAATATGACATAATATACAAGTGTCACATCATCAAAGCATCCTCATATTTTTTATGAACTTGAAGCATCTGCTGTTCTCAGATAAGAATGAGCCTCTTTTGCACATGAATAAACATGAACTCATGAATTTCATATCCTTTCATAAGAAACCAACAAGTTGGCACCTAAGTTCATAACCATGCTGTTTCTTTCTAATGGAGGACATATACGCCACAAATAAAAGAATGCAATCAAAAGTATGTAATAAAGTAGTGTACATAAATTGTTGAAAAATGCTATTGGGAAACTCGTACCTCTAGGTGGTCAAGTTTCTCCACCATACCACGGTAGGTTCCTGGGAAATTCGCCTCGCTGGAATCATGTTTTGTGAAACCACGGACATGCATTTCATAGATTATGAGATCTTTTTGAGGAAGCCGCAGAGGTAAATCTCCTTCCCAGTCAAACTAGAGTCATCATAAAAGAACATAACCGAGATAAAGCTCCACCTGATAGCTTTTAACAAGACATGACATAAAATGAACAGCAAACTACGCATAGGTACCATCACATAATGCAATGAATGTTGGCGCTAAAATACTATAATCAAGCAGATGTCTCTACATGGAAAATTCATAAAGTAACCACACCCATGGATGAATGTCCACAACCATCACAGGCATGCTAACTACTAGAATAGGTCAAGATTGTGCACTCATCATGCATTTGTTTTTCATATCAGTCAGAATTTTCACATGTCGTGACACAGAAATACACAGATCAGCAATCTTATAAGGCAACTCACACACATAAATACCCCCCCCTCCCCCCCCCTACCACACATACACACACACACAAGAATGACAAATTCCCATTAACAGGTTCACAGGTCAATTATAAATTAGTGACAGCAGATGATACACAGTCAAACATTTTCCATTTTGTTTCTAAAATTTAGCATACCACAGCTGTGAAGCTCACCCCTCAGTTCCTTGAGCCTGATCCCTTGCACTCACCCAGCCCATGCACCGCAAGCAGTCAACGCAATCACCTTGCCGATTTTACTTGGACTAGATGAACTTTTATAATAAATTAAGAAGAGCTTATCTGTTACTGAGTTATTGGGGTAATTTAAATTTTTTCAAAATTGTTTTCAGTTAAGTTCTAAAGGGCGGCTAAGAAGAGCTTATCTGTTACTGAGTTATTGGGGTAATATAATTTTTTTCAAAATTGTTTTCAGTTATGTTCTAAAGGGCGGCTATGTCACATAAAACTCAAAAATTGTCTCCCACAAAGATGCAAAATCGGCATTTGATAAGGTCATTTTTGAGTCTCAAGTACAGACATGTTCATCAGTTGGCATTTTGTAGACAGATATGGCCATGGTTACATCATGCAAAGATAAATCATATGAGTGCAACGGTGCAAGTAAAATAAACAAAAATGTGTTAGGGTACATTTTAAGTGGAAGTAAACTAAAAACCTTTAAATGATATATAAAAGTCAAATGCTTACATCATTCTTTGGTGAAGGAACCATCCCAGCCATTTGGGGCCAACAATCTCCTCCAGGCCCGGGGACACCATACTCTCCTCTGCTTACAACTGCCTGATACAAAAAGGGAAAATTTAGAAGGTGGATTCATCATTGCTGAAGCATCAACAGGACAAGGTTATTTTTACAACATAATTGGAAACAGACTCAAATAGTAGAACACTCAGAAAAATTTTATTATGTAACTTTATTGAGCAAATGTTTTAACATTTTTGTTGTGAAAGTTAGGTGATAAGGGCTGCTGCAATTAATGTGCATAGTTCAAATCCCAGGTTACCTACCCCAGAAAAAAAAAAAGGATCGCGTTACTTGCTCAATGGACAACCACAGAAGATTCACATTTCCTAAGGAACAAACCTTAGCATAGGGATCCAATAAAATTTTCAATGAGTCGAAGAAATGCCCCTTCTCCGGGAAAAACTCCCCATCAACTCTATAACCATAGAGCATATCCTCGAAATTTCCCATAAGAAATATATGCCAAACATCCCCAGTCTTGTTTATCAGTGGATCAAGGTAGATCTGTTCACTCGTTTTATTCTGCAACAAATAAAGGCAATTATTAGCATAACAACGTGCAAGATAAGAACAACAATCTAGTAGTCCATAAATAAATTACCAAAAGAAAGTGCATACCACATCAAAGAGGCAAAATCCAGTTAAAAATCCACAATTTTTTTCTTTTACCAGCACTTACAATTAAGGCAAGTATCTTAGAAAGTAAGACAAATTAATGATTATCGGTCAATATCATCAATAGGTAACCCCAGGTGAAAAGAGAATAAAGAAATCAAAATGGTATCATGAAATGAAAAGGAGAACAAACATAAAAATTTATAAGAACATATAATCAGAGAACAGTAGCAAAATGATAAACTTCTTCAACCACTTTCGGCAACTCACATTACTCCAACCAAGATCATCTTTATACTCTGCTATATTTCTCAAATACTTGACATGCAGCTAAGAAAGTACGATAAGATTTTCATATTTAGCAGTCATTAACCCTACAAATTTCAAGATGAGTTGTGCAATTGAAGATGAAATATTGAATGTCAACATATAAGCTTGTGATGAAAATGAATAAAAACCATTTCACATTAAGCACACATACATACTTAATATTCAAATGAAAACATTGCAAAATACATACTTTCTTGAAGTTCTTACACACTTTACTAAAAGATACAGACCTTTACAACTGAAGTAAAGAGATGTAGATTTGGTCAGGTCCAAGGAAATGCTAGTAGGAAAAAGTATTTAAATGATTGTGAAATATCCATGCCAAGACACTCTATACAAACATATTGCACTTAAACTCAGACCAATTGCTTCCATGCTGTCTTAAGAATTGATCAAGGTTTTGATCCAATTTAAAGAAGTTTGGCGCATTGCATCCTTTCCAAGGAAAATAAAAAATGAGCAGCAATGCATCGTATATCAGCTGATTCTCAACACCAATCACAGCCAAATCCATTTCTATCTATATATATATATATATGGATAATCTAAACTTCATAACCCTTCAAATTACAAAGGTTAAAGATAGAGAGAGTTGTGAAGGGTGGATTTACTAATTTTATAGTCTATTTTTTAAAAAAATTTATTTTTTGTGATATCTTCATCATTAAGTAGGAGCAATTTTATAAATATTACTACAAGACAAGAGGTACTTTTGTCATCTCCATAGCAGGTAAAATTGAAATTTTTACTAAAAGACAAGGGCACTCTACAAATAAAATTCCAGGATACTAACTTCCAAAATGCCAATGTATTTTTATAAAAATTTCAAATTTGCCTTTGCTCAATGGTTTAATTACTATTAAAATAATTTTTTAAACAAAAAGTAATGAACTTTTTTATAAATACACCCATCACAACCCCTTCTAACTTTAACCTTTGTATTTTGAGTGGTTGTTAACTCTAGACAAACTTTTATATATATATATATATATATATATATATATATATAGAGAGAGAGAGAGAGAGAGAGAGAGAGAGAGAGAGAGAGAGAGGAGGGAGGGGGAGGGGGGAGGGGAGGACGGAGGACGAGATA